ACCGGACCCAAGGTGCTGCCACTGACCTGCGAATGTCTGGAAGTTGGACTGTACCCCCGATGGTTAACTGCTGTTGTCTTTTGCAGCCAGTCATGTCTGACCATGGACTTCTGACCACTGTGGCCTACAAACTGGGTCGAGACAAACCCGCCTGCTACGCATTAGAGGTGAAGCACCAGGAATCGTATTTTTTACATTTGCATCCTTGTCCAACACGGTGTTCTCGCCAGGGTTCTGTGGCTATCGCCGGAGCTGTGGTCCGTTGGCTGCAGGACAATCTTGGCATCATTGGATCTTCCGAGGAGCTTGGTATGTCATATGAACTCTCAGTCTCTTTGATTATTTGCCCTATGTGTGCATTCTTTTTCTGTGCAGAGAAGTTGGCTGCATCAGTTGGGACATCCTATGGTTGTTATTTTGTTCCTGCCTTTTCGGGCCTTTATGCGCCTTACTGGGAGCCCAGTGCAAGAGGGTAGGACCCAGTTTGGAACACAAGTTGGCCTGACAACTGCATTCGATGGACGTTTTCATTGTGTCACAGGGTTATTTGCGGGTTGACACAGTTTACCAACAAGAGTCATCTTGCATTCGCTGCATTGGAAGCAGTCTGCTTCCAGACACGAGAGGTGCCAACACACACACACACACACACACACACACACACACACACACACACACACACACACGTTCACTCAGACTCACTTCTACTCTTTCGCTCACACACAGACACAGACCATCCCCTTCGTATGGTGTGAAGTTGATCTTGAAATTTGTGCTTTTCCATTTGTTTGCAGATTTTGGACGCCATGAATCAAGACAGCGGCATCCCGCTCACTCAGCTGCAGGTGGACGGAGGGATGACATCCAACAGGCTGCTGATGCAGCTGCAGGCGGACATACTCTGCATCCCTGTTGGTAGGCCTTCCCTTTGCCCTCTATGTTTCCATCGTCATTTTGTTGATGACAACCGTGTATGCTGCAGTCATGTTTTTTTTCCAGCAGAAATTTTTAAAAAGCATTCTACATGGAAGCATTAAAACACACCACGAATGAATGTTATTTGACACACTCGGTCATTTTTTTTTGTCATCACTCAACGTATGTTAACTGAAAAAGTGGCATGTTAATCCTTTTTTTTTTTTTTTTAATTTACTAATTTATTTTTTGAGCAGCAGATCAAATAATTAGTGGTGCCATAGGAGAGCATGAGTTTTCGCTGCAGGGAAGACGGTCGTAATGCCACAGTTAAAAGTACACCCATAAGAACTTAATAAGAGATGTTCATTATGCTTTAAAGGTATGCCCATACAAATTTATCAAATGATGTATATTCTGCATCTTTAGCTTGCATATTGTGCTCAGGAAAGTTGTAAATGATCCCGTTTCCTTATTTTCCTCAGTGAAACCATCCATGCCAGAGACCACTGCTCTGGGCGCAGCGATGGCGGCCGGTGCAGCGGAGGGGGTGAGCGTGTGGAGCCTGAACCCGGACGACTTGAGTGAAGTGACGTCGGAGAAGTTTGAGCCTCAGATCAACCCTGAAGGTATATTTGAAGAAGTCCACTCCACTCTGCATCGTGCATCGTGTGATATTTTTCTCGTGTTCGCGTGTGTCTGGCAGAGAGTGAGTTCCGGTATGCCCGCTGGAAGAAAGCCGTTCAGAAGTCCATGAACTGGGAGACCACAGAGCTGCCGTCTAACGGGAATGGTTGCGTGGTTCAATTTGCTTATTGATTTTGAATCTCCTTTCTGTGTCTTGAATTGTTGTAATCTTGTGCGCAGGTGAAAGCAGCATCTTCTGCAGTGTCCCACTGGGGTTCTACATCATGGGCAGCATGCTAATGCTGATCGGAGCCAATTACATTGCAGGTTGGTGTCCGCCTAGCTGATCACGAGGGCACTAAAATAATCTGTTAAGTTTACGATGACCTCTTTTGTGTCCCCTCAAGGACACAATTAATTGTCCTGGTGGCCAGCAAGGAGAAAGACCCCCCCGGTTGAATACCGTATGTCTTGTTTTCCCCAAAATATCACTCCACAAAGAGGAAAGACTGTTTGAACTGACACTTAATGGGACCTTCCCCCTATTGAATTTCTCTTGTTGTGCATGAACTATAGTAGGAGTATGCATGCAGTGTCTGTTTTTCTTACTGTTTTATGAGCTTACTTGGCAGGTCGTTGTGATCCTTTATTCATATTTGGACAAAATGAATTGTGCTGCTGCTTCATTGTTCCCAAAACCCTTCCCCGATACTCTGAGTACTTTTAGAGCACTTTATATGGTCTTTTAATTTGTGGGCACTAAGCTAATGTATATATTTTTTCCTATTAGAAAAAAAAAATCGAAATATTTATTTCTTTGGAATCTACACATACTGATACTCGTCAAAAATTTGAATATCATGAAAAAGTTTCCTTTTCCGTAATACCATTCAAAAAGTGAAACTTGTGTAACGCGTACATTCATTCCACACAAACGGATACATTTCAAGTGTTCATTCTTTTTCATTAAGATGACTGTGTGAAAACTAATTAAAAAAAAACTACAGGTAATAGAAAACCCCAATTCACGATCTCAGAAAATTAGAATGTTGTCAAAACTGTACGCGAGACATGGGTTTCATCTGTCGCATTCCTTGTGTCAAGCCACTCTTGAACAACAAACAGCGTCAGAAGCGTCTCGCCTGGGCTAAAGAAAAAAAGGACTGGACTGCTGCTGAATGGACCAAAGTTCTCTGATGAAAGCAAATGTTGCCTTTCCTTTGGAAACCAGTGTCCCAGATTCTGGAGGAAGCGAGGGGATTCGCAGAATCCGCGTTGCTTGAGGTCCAGTGTCAAATTCCCCCAGTCAATCATGGTTTGGGGTGGCACGTCATCTGCTGGTGTTGGCCCTTTGTGTTTCCTGAATTTCCAAGGTCAACGCAGCTGTCTACGAGGAAATTTGAGAGCACTTCATGGTTGCTGCTGCTGACCAGTTTTATGGAGATGCAGATTTCATTTTCCAACAGGATTTGATGCCTGGACACATTGCCAAAGCTGGTGTAAGGACCATGCTATTCCTGTTCTTGAGTGGCCAGCCAACTCGCCTGACCTTAACCCCATAGATTTTCTCTGGGGTATTGTGACGAAGAGGATGCGATACGCCAAACCCAGCAATGCGGAAGAGCTGAAGGACACCATCTGTGCAACCCTGGGCTCTCATAACACCTGAGCAGTGCCACGCACCGATCGACTCCGTGCCACGTCGCATTGCTGCAGTAATTCAGACAAAAGGAGCCCCAACTAAGTATTGAGTGCTGTACATGTACATATGTTTCATGGTCATACTTTTCGGTTGGCCAACATTTCTAAAACTAATTTCTTTGTATAGTCTTATGTATTATTCTAACTTTCTGAGATAGTGATTTTTTAAAAAAAAATAGTTTTCATGTCATTTAAATTAAAATGAATTAAAACTTGAAATGTATCAGTCTGTGTGGAATGAATGTATGCAGTTTCACTTTTTGAATAGTATTACTGAAATAAATCCACTTTTTCCATGATATACAACTTTTTTGACGAGCACCTGTACACATTGGCTTTAGTGATGGTAATCCAAGCATGGGCAGAGGTGAATTCCTTTGTAAACTATCAATCCTGTTGCTCCACTAAATCGTGTTGCTCCAAAGTGTGAAACATAAAGCACTTAGTCGTATGAATTTAGGTCAATATTTATTGTGTGTGTTCCTGAAAGCAAAGGTAAACATTGTCGACTAGGCCCCAAAATGGTCAAATTTCAGATGGAAACAACATGTTAGGTGTCCAGAATACAGGTCTGCCTTCACTATGATCATAAACCATAAATACTTGAAACTTGGCTCTGACGTATCTTTCCTTTGAATTTTTATTTGTGCTGACGGCAAATATGCTTCTTTCCCCATGGCTTTGGCAACACTGGGCTGCCCAGACAGATAGTAGGCTACTGAGAGCAAGGATAGTTAGGCAAGGGAGGCAGTGCTGCCACTCCCCGCCCCCCCCACCCCCCCACCTCCCATATAAGTATTACATTAAATTATTTCCGTTTTAGTTGTTTGGTCAGTGCTTTACACTGATTTTGTTTTTCAGATGACTGGATGATTCTGGTTGGTGTCGTGCTGATAGGGGCAATTCCACATCTCAGTGAATGAGCAAAAACATTTTTGGCACTGAATTTGATCACTCTCACCATATAGTGGGGTGTTGAACAATATGAGGTGTAATGTGTGCCTTTGCACAAACGAGATCGCTTCCATCCTATCACACGCCCAAACAATATGCTTCCAGCATTGGACGTGAACGCACACGCTGGTATGTAGCATAATGTTCATACAGTTTTGGCAAATGTTAAAATTGTAAATACGGACTTGAAAATACATGATTTGCCACCAAAATAATTTTTTCCAGAATGTTTTTGTCTTTTGTTGTTTTTTTTTATAAGAAGAATACTGTTTATATGATTGAGCTGTCATAAAAGCAGCAAATATTGGTGTCAAAGGTGAAGTTTTACTTGAAATATGTCTCTTCACAAAACCCTCCATTTCTTAGTGTGGGCACCCGCAGCAGGATTTTCAATTCAACTTCCTTATATGATCCTCACTAGGGTCGCGGGTGGTGCTGGAGCCTATCCCAGCTGTCTTCGGGCAGTAGGCGGGGGACACCCTGAATCGGTTGCCAGCCAACCGCAGGGCACACAGAGACGAACAACCATCCACGCTCACATTCACACCTAGGGACAACTTAGAGTGTTCAATCAGCCTGCCATGCATGTTTTTGGAATGTGGGAGGAAACCGGAGTACCCGGAGAAAACCCACGCAGGCCCGGGGAGAACATGCAAACTCCACACAGGGAGGCCGGAGCTGGAATTGAACCCGGTACCTCTGCACTGTGAAGTCGACGTGCTAACCACTAGACTACCGGGCCGCCTGATCTGTAAATTACAAACAAAATAATAATTTGAGTAATTTTTTTTAAAGAACAGTCTAAAATTCCGTTTGGTCGGTTCCGTCATGTTTATACAGTATACCCACCGTACACAATATTGGATTGGTCTTCGAAGATTGGTCAAAATCCTCTAAATGAATGGCAATGAATGAGTTAAAGAATGAGCATGATTTTTATTTTTATTTTTTCAAAATGGCTAAAGAATTATTTAAATTTACAGACAGATCAACTTTTTTTAACCTCGTCTCCAATTGACCAGGGTCATCTGTCACTTAATAAAATCAAATCAAATCTGGCCCTTGAAAACAATAGAGTACTTAGTCCAACCCTGTCATGTGGCTGGGTCCGTGCACGTTTAATAGTGGCTGTCAAACAAGGAAGTGTAGTCTGGTGTGGCACACTTGGGTGTTAGTTCCTCATTTCTCGTCTCGCTGTGACGAGAATGGACAAAGGGGACGCTTGACAGCAAAGGTAGGCAAAGAAGAAGAAATGCTCAATTTTGAACCTTATGTTTATATTGATTATATGTACTTTTGTTTTGGTTGGTCAGGAATCATCCAGGTTAATCACTGCAAGAGAGCTGCAGATGAGTAACCAGCTCAGTCAGGTATTTCATTACAATTTGATCATGCAACCCTAAAATGTTTCATTGGGAGCCCATCTATGTTTTTTCTTATTGTTGCCATAGATATAGATATAATGTGTTCACAAATTGCTCATATGGGGAATGAAACATGCATTTGAATTTATAATTTGTGGCCATGAAATAAGCATGATTTGCACATGAAACACTAATGTGTGGGTTTTTAAAGAGGTGTGTCAAACGAGCTGTCGCGGGCGACATTGTGATTATAGTTTCCCTCAGAAGACATGATGTGACGTGCAGTTTGTCAAGCATAAAACCAGTGGCAACATTTTGTCACCTTTAACTACAATCAACTTAATTTTAAGTCCCTTTCTTGATGTACATTTACAACAATATTTTTCAAGAGAAGCATTTGTATGCACATTGTAATGGGAATTTGACATATAACAGCGCTAAATGGAAGTAACTGTTCGTACTATTGAATGCTGATCAGTTATTTTGCGGATAAGCAAAGTTGCCTGCACATGCACTAGTCTACTCTGTGTAGCTGCTCAAAATGCTGATTGCGCTGACCTTCACCACCTCCAACAAGATAAAATCAGAGCGCAAGACACATGCGCTGACCTTCACCACCTCCCAACAAGATAAAATCAGAGCGCAAGACACGGAGGGGGCGGGAGAAGGCTCCCTTGACAGATCTGAGAACGGTGGCCCTCCATGTTTTTTTCCTTTTCTTTTTCTTTCTTCAATAAATCTCATCATTTTTTATAAATACTTTCGTTGTCTTGGTTTCCCTGGACAAGACAACATGTTAAAAGTCACACCTAAACGTTAAATCTTAATATAAATGTTAAACCGAATGTTAAATCCGCCATTTTAAAATCTATATGTTTGGGCCCTTATAAAATATGCAATCATATGCAAATTCGAAATGCCAGAAACCGGAAGCACCAAAATAAAAACCCGAGGAGCGTTGACTGTATATCGAAACATAAAACATCTGATCCAGAAAAAGTGACTCTTGGCAATACAGGCCATCATAGTGATAATTAGAACCTTAAATAACAATAATGAGCACATTGAATTTTAAGTGTCATTTTTACCAAGGTTGCGAGATTTATGACATTTTTCCAAACATGTTTGTAATCTGATGCCTGAGACTCACCTCCAGAAGAGGAAACGCTTGCTGGTTGAAAACCCAGAAAGTACACCTAAGATGCTTCCTTATGCGTACCCGCTTGATCCTGAGACACACCCAGCTCCGGAGTGTACGCTGTCATTATTTCAGTGGCAAATCGAACAGGAATCGCGTAGGTATGAAGATGTCCCTCCCGAGTTGCTGAACTTGCAAGATGGGGACGGCGACACGTAAGTATCACGGACATGTTTTTTGGGGGGTGGGGGCAATGAAGGCGCATAGTTGACATCAGCAACGTCACGGAACATTACCAAATATAAATGTCATAAAAGATATATACAGTACAATGAAACTCTTTCATTCTACTTATACCACCCTCCCCCTCACACAGATGCTTGTAACACATTTAAACTTATTAAAACAAAAACGTCTTTCTAACATAACATGTTTAGAAAGTACGTATTGTAGTGTCTGTACATGCCTGTGCCTTGAAGAGGCACAGAGGCCTCTTTTGCCATTTTTGCTATTTTTGTTATCTACTGAAGTTGAATTGAAATGGATGTAATATTCTTCGAAAGTGTTGGTGGTGGCTTGATGACTCAGTGGGCAATTCTGCTGACTGCCAAACCATGTGAGTGCCTTTCAGTAGTGATGCTGGCAGGTGAAAGTTGCATGTTGTCAGAAAGTGTTGCAACTAAAATTTGCATTATTTCAAACCACAGCTATATTGATAACTCATTTCTTGGTACATTTAACTGATCTGCATGAGTACTTTTCATTTAGTTTTTGAATCATCAGTGAGCTGCGTTAAATCCTCAAGTCAAGTGTGCACTGTGTAAATAACTCAGCATTGGCTCAGTCCCTTTTGGGCGAAACATTGGGGTAGCTAATTCACCCTATTTGGGTTGCTTTTGACCAAGCAGACCAAGATATATGTGACTGACGTAGACAGAAAAACAAAAATATACAATTTGTCATGAATAAATGATAATGTTGGGACCAATTCTATGAAAATGACACACTTGTTGTTAATCACGTCCTCATTGGTTGTGAATGTCTCAACCTTGTCACATTTATCTCTCTTACAGATGTCTTCACATAGCTGTGGCCCAAGGCCGAAGAGCTCTGGTTTACATGCTCGCTTCCAAGATGGCCAACTATGGCGCTTTAGAGGTGAAGGAGCGCAATGGGCAGGTATCGGAGCTCCCCCTTTGTTTACAGGGTGTCTATTAAGTCTTTTTACAATTCAGCATGCGTGTAGCTGTCCCTTGGAACAAATGAACAAATGAGTCTCGGCCTTGCTTGTCCAGACGCCGCTTCAGGTCGCGGCGGCGGCCAATCAGCACCTAATCGTTGGCGACCTGCTGCTGCACGGTGCGGACATCAACACCAGAGACTCGTGGGGCCGCTCGCCTCTACACGTGTGTGCTGAAAAAGGATTCTACCTCTGTTTACAGGTTAGGAGTTGACTATTTTGCAAAGTTAGTTTTGATATGCATCTGATTTCGGGAAACACTTTTTTATTCACTGAAAAAAAAATCACCAGGCCCAAAGAGTTGCCTAATATAAAAATCATACTTTAGTGCCATATTTTGGCATTTTAATGCTAAGGAAATACCATATGTTGAATTACAGTGATCCCTCGCTATTTCGCGGTTCGTTTATCGTGGCTTCAATGTATCGCGGGTTTTTTCAAACATTAAAAAAAAAAAAAAAAAAAAAAAAATTTAAATTTAAATATACATGGAGTACAGTACTGTATATGGTGTTCTATGTGACTCGCTGTTGTTTTGCAGCTTCTCGCGGACCGTTTGCGGACTTAAATATATATATATATATATATTTTTTAACCTGTATATGGTAATTGGTCGCTACTTCGCAGATTTTCGTTTGTCGCGGGTGGTTTTGGTCCCCATCAACCGCGATAAACGAGGGATTACTGTAGTTGAAGACCTTCATGTGTTGCTTTGCCACCGTCCTGTGGCATCTAAAGGCAGTTACAGTTGTGTCTTGATATTGATATACGAGTGACCTGACTGGTGAGTTTTTCCAGATGCGATCTGTCATTTTCTTGCTTTGTCTTGCCAGCGAATACTGCACAGTACTTGAGAGATGGACACTGTATGGGTGAACTCAACTTCAAGTCTAACTCACATCACAATAAGCAGCAGTTTGGCAGATAGTGAACAATTGTTGAAAAAAGGGGCTCTAAGCGTTTTAATACCACTTCCAGTTAATGTTTTGTATATTAACCAAGTCTAAAACGTTGCCTTAAGAATGTCCCTGCTTGCTTAATGCTAACTCATAATGGAAGACGCCAATGACGGGCTACCAGGCACCATTGATAGTGGCAGTGTTATAACCTTTTAAGCCACGAATGGACAACTGCTGGCCCACGGGCTGCAAGCAACCCTAATCTGACTGTCCCCTTAATTACTTGATTAATTTAAAAAAAAAAAAAAAAGTTTTTAGTTTTTTTTTTTTTTTAAGGTGGGCAATTGTAAACATGTTTCCTTTACTACATTGGAACCCTGAATACTTGTGGCTCAGCGCCATTTCCCCCAAATATTTTAAAATGTTTTTTTTAATTTTGCTTTTTTTCTGGATGTAGAAAACCCTGTTTTATTTTTGTGAAAATGTGTATTGGATCGGCGGCCCAGTAGTCCAGTGGTTAGCACGTCGACTTCACAGTGCAGAGGTACCGGGTTCAATTCCAGCTCCGGCCTCCCTGTGTGGAGTTTGCATGTTCTCCCCGGGCCTGCGTGGGTTTTCTCTGGGTGCTCCGGTTTCCTCCCACATTCCAAAAAAAACATGCATGGCAGGCTGATTGAACACTCTAAATTGTCCCTAGGTGTGAATGTGAGCGTGGATGGTTGTTTGTCTCTGTGAGCCCTGCGATTGGCTGGCAACCGATTCAGGGTGTCCCCCGCCTACTGCCCGAAGACAGCTGGGATAGGCTCCGGCACCCCCGCGACCCTAGTGAGGTTCAAGTGGTTCAGAAAATGAATGAATGAATGAATGAATGTGTATTGGATGTTTAGAATTTTTATTTGTTGTTAGCATTGGGAATAACAATAATAATAATAATAATAATAATTTTCTAAAATCTCCCCAAATTCTTAAAAAAAATAATGATTCCATATACATTTTCTATGAAAAATGGGGAGAACACAATATACAGTAATGACAATATAACAACACTGACATATTTTCTTTATCTTCTGCAAAAAAAAACTGCACGTTAATAAATCAGCTCTTCCTCATTTGTGTTTTATTATACTGCCACCCGGTGGCCAAGTCATGCACACCAGAGGGAGCCGCAATAAATGAATCATGATGCACAAACTCTTTACATTGAAGGCAATGTGCCATAAGTCGCTGGTACACTCGCCTGACTTGTGTGTGGGCAGTGGAAATGCTTTGCTTCTTTGGGGAGGCTGGAACAGATTTAGAATGCTTTTAGTCATATTTGGGGCTGTCGCTGTAGTTCCAGAGTCAGAAGAGTGAAGAAGTTGCCTAAACAGGTCTGCATATGTGTTACTCCGTGTCTCCACAGAGCATCTGGAAGACTTTCTCCGGATGTTTACAGATGATTGACACAGAAATGCTCAATTTTGACGGTAGGTGTTTTTGTTTTCACCATTTATCCAGAACAGCGCAAGGGCACACTTGAAACACCGCATTATTCCCCTTGGAGGTCAAACGCCACTTCATGTCGCAGTGTTGTCTCACAATGCGGTTGAAAATGAGTGGAGGAGACTGTCTCATTCTCGTACCCTGGACAAGCATCAGTGCCAGTACCAGCAAAGGGAACTGCTGCAAAGGAAAAACATTTATGTTCAATGTGTGAAGGCTCTGTTGCACATGGGCGCCTCCTGTGGGACGAAGGTGCGCAAACACACTTAGTCATCTCACAAACTTGAGCGCACCCCTCACTTGACTCCAGGAGGGAAAATGGCTAATTTGAACAGTTTCACTGAGGGGTGTACTCACTTTTGTTGCCAGTGACTTAGGCATTATTCGCTGAGTTGTTTTGAAGGGACAGTAAATGCAAAGTGTTATACCAGCAGAGTGTCATTTATTCAGTGCTATCCCATGAAAAGATAACACTGACCAAAATGAGAGGGGTGTGCTCACTTTTGTTATCTCGTGTTCATGAAACACACAGCCCAGTTGAAACCGCGACACAGGTCATTTGTCTTCCTGCAGGACTTAAAAAGTGGACTGACGTGTTGGCACATGGCAGCCGAAGAGGCCAATTGTCAACTGTTGCGCGTCTTCCTCGAGTGGCCATCTGCCTTGAGCAGCCTCAACCACAAGGTTACATCAGAGCAACATGAGAGTGGCGAGCCCCCCACATAGTGTGCTGAGGTGGCAAAAGGGACATCATTCAAGATTCTCTCTCACACTTACCACTGAAATACTCTGAGATACAACTGCATTTTTTTTTTGGCCCAAAAACACCATTGAATGCTCCCTCTCATGACTGAAACAATTTCACACATATGCACACAACTAGTGTTGGGGAAAATGAAGCTTCATGAAGCGCCTGTGGTATTTTTGACTGCCAAGATGGCGGACTTGGTTGAAAGATAAAGGCTGCTTTAAACCAAGACTACCATGTAGTAGAATCAAAAATTATTGAAAGTGCTTCATAAATCGTCATTTGTTGAAGATGATGCACAATAGTTTGAAACCCAAACCCCACTTTAAAACCCTGCTTTGAAACCCGAACGCTATTTTGAAATTCTTCTTTGAAACCATACTCCTACTCTAAAACCCTACTCTGAAATTCTAAACTCACTTCAAAATCCTAATTTGAACCCCTAATCCAATTTTGAAACCTAACCTTGAAAACACTTCAAAAACCTAGACCTACTTTCATTTCCTTCATTAATTCATTTTCCGATCTACATATCCTCACAAGGGTCGCTGGAGGTGCTGGAGCCTATTCCAGCTGTCTTCGGGCAGTAGGCGGGGGCCACCCTTGAACCGGTTGCCAGCCAATCGCAGGGCACACACAGACGAACAACCATCCGTGCTCACAATCACACCTCGGGACAATTTGGAGTGTTCAATCAGCTTGCTATGCATGTTTTGGGAATGTGGGAGGAAACCGGAGTACCTGGAGAAAACCCACGCAGGCCCGGGGAGAACCACGGGGCCCCCCTAGACCCACTTCAAAACCCTAATTTGAAAACCTAAGCCCACTTTGAAACACGACTTTGAAACCCTCACCCTTCTTTGAAACCCCATTGCGAGTTTGAAACCCAACTATCAAACCCTAACCGTGTGGAAAAAACATAAGCACACACTACTGAAAATTCTTTTGCTGACCCGCATGCACACACACACACACACACACACACACACACACACACACACACACACACACACACACACACACACACACACACACACCGAGACGCTCTCACGAAAATCTACTAAATGCTGTCACATTGTGTGTGTGTGTGTGTGATAGGGAGAGTAACGGTGAATGATCTCTCACATTGTGCTTGTTGCAGAGCTTCAGCGAAAACACGGCCCTGCACGTGGCCAGCTCCTTGCAAAACCATCCCGCTCAGCCGGAGGCGCTGAAGATGCTGATGAGAGGCGGAGCCGACCCTACGGCCAGAAACTTGGAGAACGAGCTCCCCTGGCAACTGGCGCCAGGAGGACCCATTGGTGAGACGGTAAGCTTGAAAGAATTATTCAGGCACAGGCCCCAGCAGAAGTGACAACACATATTTGAAGTCAAATTCCCAGCCAGTTTCTGACATGTTTGGAATCAAATACAGGACTGACCTTGTCATTTCCAAACTAGGCTCTGCGCCTTGCTTTCATTTCATTCTGACTGAATGTAATTTTTATTTATTTATTTTTTTATTCTTCAGGTGCATCAGATCCTCAGGGGCCAACATCTTGATGCTTAAAAGTACTCCAGAACAGAACACTGTCAGTCAGACAGTCTATCATGTAAATATTTGCCTCACAAAGGCAGATGGTGGTTGTTTCAATGAAACAAATCATTTTGATGTAATACTCAATGAGCAAACATACACATCCATCCATTTTCCGATCCGCTTATCCTCACCACGGTCGCGAGGCATGCTGGAGCCTATCCCAGCTGTCTTCGGGCAGTACGCGGGGGAACATTGTGCTTGTTGCAGAGCTTCAGCGAAAACACGGCCCTGCACGTGGCCAGCTCCTTGCAAAACCATCCCGCTCAGCCGGAGGCGCTGAAGATGCTGATGAGAGGCGGAGCCGACCCTACAGCCAGAAACTTGGAGAACGAGCTCCCCTGGCAACTGGCGCCAGGAGGACCCATTGGTGAGACGGTAAGCTTGAAAGAATTATTCAGGCACAGGCCCCAGCAGAAGTGACAACACATATTTGAAGTCAAATTCCCAGCCAGTTTCTGACATGTTTGGAATCAAATACAGGACTGACCTTGTCATTTCCAAACTAGGCTCTGCGCCTTGCTTTCATTTCATTCTGACTGAATGTAATTTTTATTTATTTATTTTTTTATTCTTCAGGTGCATCAGATCCTCAGGGGCCAACATCTTGATGCTTAAAAGTACTCCAGAACAGAACACTGTCAGTCAGACAGTCTATCATGTAAATATTTGCCTCACAAAGGCAGATGGTGGTTGTTTCAATGAAACAAATCATTTTGATGTAATACTCAATGAGCAAACATACACATCCATCCATTTTCCGATCCGCTTATCCTCACCACGGTCGCGAGGCATGCTGGAGCCTATCCCAGCTGTCTTCGGGCAGTACGCGGGGGACACCCTGAACCGGTTGCCAGCCAATCGCTGGGCACCAACAGTCGAACAACCATCCGCGCTCACACTCACACCTAGGGACAATTTGGAGTGTTCAATTAAACTGCCACGCATGTATTTGGAATGTGGGAGGAAACCGGAGTACCCGGAGAAAACCCACGCAGGGACAAGGAGAACTTCATTCCAAGAGTACACGTTGACAACATTTTTGTGTGGGATTCATACTTTAAAAAAAATTCAATTCAATGCATGAAATTGAGCACATAACTCTTGGAGCACCTGAATGTAAAATAAGTAAATGTTTCTCAGAATCGGGACTCAAACCATCCATTTTGACGATAATGTACTTTTTTCTTATGCGGATGTAAACACAGCACTGGGTACCTTATGTACCATACGTGCATGTGTATAATGGACTGCTTAAGATGACCGACCAAATTCCTTGTGAATTTTAACATCAATAATATATATACTGTAACAATAAAGGGGCCTCTAAATGGCAACTGAGAGTCATGGAATAAAGCGTGTGCATTCGCCTTCCATATATTTATTTCCTTTTTTTTGTTTTTGTTTTAAACTTCATGTCCTCACCACTTTCCACTTAAATGTTTTCAATCATTGCCAGACAGTCTAATCACAATAGAAAAGTGTTCAAATCCCGAAGGAGTGAACAGGAGGCATTTGCCATGTCATTATTTTTATATTTATGTTTCATATTTGTCTCACAAACATTAAACTTACACATCAATGGCACAAATATTGCTCGGTTTTAAAAGATCAGACCAAGAACACACGAACAATGTGGCAATAAACCTGCGAGGTTACAGAAAGAAAGCAGACGATGACAAGCAATGTATTGGTTGGTTGGTTGGCACATTGTAATATTTCAGAGGTATTTTACTGTACTCCAGGAAATAATCTAGTTTATCCCTATGTAGACAGTGGCTGTTTTTTTCCCCTTAAGGCGTGAAATGAGAAACGAGGCAAGAAACGAGAGACTACTGCATCGCAACGGACAACAGCAGAATGAACACATTACATATATATTCAATATTAGATTACTCTTAAATATTTCAAAAATAAAATTATATATGTAGCATATATTTAATCATAAGTGAAGGATAACACACTCTTGCATACAACAGCCTCTTTCTTTAAACGTACCCTCACAGTTATTTCCTGCAATTTGATCGTTTCTGTTAATTATATTTAACGATAGAATTTGTGAATGCAGTAGCAATAGCTAGACTAAACTATACATTCAGTTTGAGAATAGAATAGAATATAACTTTCATGTCACGATCACAGTGTTCTCTACTTGTTTTTTACTTTAAAGAGTTGCTGCTGAAGATACGGCTGCGGCTGTTGTTGTGCCCATTGTTCTTTCGTCCCTCTGCTGGTCGCTCTACACCTCTGTGGGGTTCGTTTGCTCTTCTTTAAGGTCTGAGAAGTGTGGTTCTTCACCTGCGCAATGTGCGAAGTGGCTTGTGATAACGTGTGTTGAGAATTGAGGATCAAGAAATGGAACCCACTTTACACATGTGACTCATCCAAGTCTACGTCAACGGGGGAAAGGGGCAGACGGCGAGGCGAGCGCCGAGGCGAGCGCCGAGGCGACGGTGCAGACAGTAGTGGGGCGAGGAGGGGGTTTTCTGTGCCCTCGTCCTCGCTGAGTTGCAGCAGCGTGTTGCTTTGCGGCAGGAGCGAGGCGGTGTCCACGTCCTCCGGACTCTCTCGGATGCGGGGCGCCATTGGCGGAGGAACAAATGGAGTGGGCTGGAGGGGCAGTGGCAGAGGCGGGCCGGGAACCGGTGTCGTGCCCAGCACGGGGAGTGGCGGGGGGAGAGGCGAGGAAGTGCGGGACAAAGGGGAGCTGGTTCTTGAGAGGGTAAGTGGGGAGCCAGGATGGGGAGGTGGTGTTGGGGTGGAGGTGCGGGAGATGGAGGGGGGCGGGGAAAGGCTGCTGCGGAGGCCCCACTGCTCTCGTTTCTCCTTGGTAGTCATGGTAGGAGCAACCTACAGAGAATAAATACAGTACCAGAGGGGGCGGGGTCAGGAGGGTATCTAATGAGCCTCATTAATAAAAATAATGACGTGCTGCCATCTTGTGGCATCTTGGTGCCAAGCAACTACACTGAAGAGCGCTCATAAAAAAAATCACTGAATACAATCTTCACACAAGTGAGCACACACCTCACAATTTTGGTGAATAATTGATCTTTTCATGAAACAGCGCTGTAGAAATAATAGTCTGCTATAACACAGTTTTTAATGTATAAATAACAACAAAATCGCGTACACTTCTTTTTTTCTAATGGCCCAAAAGTCAAAAATTTGTGTGGCCACCGTCATTCAAGAATGAATAGCTGAGTCTTGAACTATTTTGTGGAGACAGTTTTTCAAGATGGACATTGATAACTTTACATTGGAAAGTGTCATTTCTTTTTTGCTGTCTGATGAAGAGATTAACAAAGTGTTTCCAAAAATGTGTGCCCTCACACTCTGTCTATTCATAGCCGTGTTGTTAGCAGTGGAAAATCAGCTATTTTCAGTTAATATGATTAAATTTGAAGTTGCTAAACAGGTCATGAACAGTCAGTATAAATGTTAAAAACAAAACAAAAAAAAAACACCAAAACAAAACAAAAAAAACACTAACTGCCATGGAATTCAGCGGTTGGTCGTTACGTCGAATTGACGCTCAGATTATCGGAGGCCCTTGGAAAAAGTTCCCCCTGGACCCACAAAGTTTGCGATCCCCATCAAAAATAACATACATTCAGAGATTGGCACCTGTGTTTTTGCAGGGCTGTGCAGATCGGCGATGACGGTGGCTGATGAGGCGGCGGGCACTTCCAGTGTGGGGGGCTTGGATACGGCGTGATTGGCCTTCCTGCCCTCGATCGGAACATCTGCGCCGCTGGGGCTCAAAGGCGTGCTGCCCCCCACACACGTTTGCTGCCTTTGTGTTTCCGTAAAGGTAACCGACCTCTTTTGGTCTCCTTGAGCTGCTGAGGGGCACACACGCATGTTGTCGTGGTCAAAGACAAGGCCATCGCAGCATATCTTGAAGTGTCAAGAACACCAGCACCACTAAAGGAGGCAGGGGCGGTAGGCGAGGGGGTAGGAGGGGGTGCAAGACAGACATGCAGAGCGCCCCACTGGGTGAGGTTGCGGACAGAGGGGTGGGCCATTGCACAGTGGAGAGGAAAGGTTACGGGGCGCGTCTCACCTTCACAGTCCAATAAAGTTTCTTTATTTTGAAACAAAAGGCGTGAGACAGAACAGAGTGAGAAATGTCAGTTTGGTGTCCGGGGATACAACAAACATTGGAACAGACACGGGGTGTGAAAGGGGAGACGGATGAGCTCACGATGACATCTTTGTGTGCGTTCGTTCAAATTTGATCAAGAACTTGAGCTAATTAGTCGACTCTATAGAGTACAGCGTGTGCTTCTGAAGACAGGTGCTGTTACCCAGAGGTTTGGTTTTGGGTTGGATGCTCCTTCGAGTTGTGGAGAGACGAGCTCCAGAACGACCACGGGGCTCATTTTTTGGAATGGACAACAGGGGGCGCCTCAGCTGCAAGAAGAAAAAGAAAAAGGCCTTATCGAAGAGAAAACTTGAATTGGGGAGCACATCAGAATGGCATCGAGGGCCCCGAAGGATTCATCGGTCAGTCAATACAATCGCCTTTTTCGAAATAATCTTACTTGGCTGGAGTTTTGAAACTGATACATTTTCTTCATTTCTCATGAAACAGTTTATGTTGTGAAACATCAGAGTCGCGCAGAATGATGTCCTACTTGCAACATTTGTCCGCTGCATGTAGCTCTGAATTCATTCAATCCAATACACACATTTCCTGAGGTGATGATGTGGGCTGACCTTGCACGAACACAACCAACATTTACAACAACACTGCTGGGTCGTAGTGGTCGGCTTGTGCTGCGCCAAGGCGCGACATTGCTTTGACATCAAAATCTTCTGTTCCTCTGCTGTCACCAACAGCAACAAATGGAATCTCCATTAAGATTCACAAAACGCTTTTTACCTGTCTCAGGCCTCTCTTCCTCCCCAGCGGAGGCTGGATGAGTAGGTTTTGCTGACCAGGCTCGCTCTGTACACTGGCAACCCTAGGAACAAATGCAAATGCACATACAACGAACTGAGAAGTAAGAAGCGCAGGAAAAATAAAAATAAAATAAAAACAGCGCCGGCCACCTTTGCACCAACTCTCTGACCACAACAACTATTCTACTCACTACACAACACACGTAGTTTGCTATGATTCATACACAACAGGGGATGGAGGGGCTGGGGGGCGGGGTCTGAAGTAGCAACCGTGTT